GGGGAGAGGCCACCGACGCCAATGTTTTTAACTCTGGGTTCAAGTCAGTGCAGATGTTGTGGAAGGTGCCTCTGCTTAAAGAGGGCCCTGCAATATCTGCACTTTCTTCTGTGGCTGCTCTGCCGCCAGCTAATAACACGGTGAAAGGCCTGTAATTCTTATTCACCCTCTGGAGATGCCACAGACAGCTATAACTACAGCAAGACTAACCCCAGGACGTCAGCACTGCCCTGCCGTCCCCGCCACGTCTGTCCCGGGGTCACCGAAATGGCCCCACCATGATGTCAGCTGAGGGTACCAGGGGCTGCTGGCTCTCCCTTGGAGTAGAGGGGAGAACCTACCATTGACCGCAGACTGCATGAAAATCACAGACACGCCCAGTCTGTCAGGAACCTTCCCCGGCTCTCTGCTTTTGTTCCAACAACCAGGGGCAGAATGATGCAAGAGGCTAAATTTGATTTTAATGAGAGCAGTTTGGGTGGGGAGAGAGGAAAGAGGCAGCACTCTCTCCAGCCCAGGCTCCCATGGATGACCCGCCGCCCACGCAGCCTGTCCTCACATCTCTGGGGTCAAGGGACGGTACTGGAGGAAGGACAGACCCTCCGTCTGCCTGCTGGGCTGGAGGGAAATGTGGAACTTGTCCTAGCTCGAATTCACCTAAAGCGGAGAAGGTTTCTGCCCAAGCTCTGTCCTGCGGTGGATGTGGGAGGGGGGCTAGGATCCACTTCCTGGCCACTCACTGCTCTGGGTGGCCGTCTCTCCCTGCCCTGCCGAGAGCCACAGCCCAGGCCGCTGCTCTGGTTCTCAAATTTCCAAGCATTTCCTTGAACCTGACCAGCAGGCAGGGCTCAGAGGCTTCCAAACAGCCAGTGTGTTCAGACAGAAGGCACTGGGCCTGGTCACACTTCAGGGGAGAAGGGATTTGCAGTGAGATCTTTTGGGAGGCTGGTCTCCCCTCTGCCGCTGGGGTAACCTTCTGCAGGGAGTTACTTATCCAGCCTTGCCGTGGTTAATGTTCCACTGCCTCGGGTTGTAGCATCTGCTTGTTTTGATCTGTGTGGCGGAGGGAAGGGCTGGGGGGTGGGGAAAGGACTCAGCCAGGACAGTTTAAAGAGATGTTCCCTGCGTGGCTTCTCGCCCTTTATCCAGCCATCCTCTCTTTGCAGCCAGCACGCCCCCGCCCTTGTTGGGTGGGCCCCTTTGTTGCACCTCATGGCTGCCAGCAAACCCCTCTGATCATTCTGCCCCAGCCACTGGGTTTAAAAGACTCAATAGGCACATCCAGACCTTCTCCAAGGTGCCCACCCAGAGCACCCTCGCCAAGTGTCTGAAAGCCGAGCGGCAGCCTGGCCCCTTCCCTGGGAAAGGCCATTCTCCTTCCCTCACCAACCCATTCATTCATTGCCTGACCCCCATTTCCCAAGCTGATGGCCGGGACTCGCTTCTAAAGGGCGCAAGGTCTGGCTTCCTCACTAGCAGCCACAGGGGCACAGCTCCCACCACCCGGCAGCCCCTCCCAAGGAGAAGGTTATTCTGGAGACAAAGGCAGTGCCCTGAGCTGGGCGGCTGCCTCCTCCCACACCACACTCCCTGCCCGGCCTCTTCCCTGGGGGGCGGCCTCTAGGGGCCCCTGAACCTCTCTCCGCCGTGCCTTGGGCTCACGGCTCCCGTGCTGGTGGTGGGCACCTGCCAGCCCCCACTCACCAGTCCGGGCTTTCCACCGCTTTGGGGCTGAGCCTGCTGTCGCTGTTCACATTGAACAGGACGTCGTCCTCCGTGAGCGGCGGAACCGCCACCCGGTAAAGCGGGTGCTCGAACAGCCTGGCCAGGAGCGAGGTGTCTCCGCCGGGGCCGGGCGGCGGCTCGGACTGACGCGGGCCGGGGTCTCGCAGCAGCGGCCGGTGCGCGGGGTCGTGGGGTCTCCGGGCGCCAGGGTCCCGCCCCCGCAAGGCGCGCTCGGCCGGCTCCGCCGCGGGCGGCAGTTTCTCCAGCGAGTGGGACGAGAGGTTGGAGGAGGGGTCGGAGCTGAAGTCCTGCAGGATGCGGAGCGTGTGCTTGTTGGGCCAGCCCGCGTCGGCGGCGGCGGAGGAGGCGGCTGGGGGCTCCCCGGGGCGGCCCCGAACCTGGGCCCAGCCGGGCGCGGCCACCTCGGCCGCGGGCTGCGCGCACGAACAGCCGGGCTCCCCCGAGGGCCGCGCGCCGCGCCTCTCCAGCCGGGGCAGCAGGTCCAGGGCGATGTGCAGCGCGCAGGCCACCAGGAAGACCATGAGGATGAGCACGCGGAACCGGCGCACCAGGATCATCTTCATGGCCGCGCGGCCGGCCCGGGCCTGGAGCGCGTTCCCCTCGCGCCCCTCTAGCTGCGGCTGGGCAGGAGCGCGGCGCCGCCTCGCGGGTCAAGGTCCATCGGCGCCGGGCGGCTACCAGCTCCGGGGCTGTGCCCGGGCCCGGACCGCGTGCAGGGCGCCCGCCGCCAAAGCGCTGGGTCCCCGCGCCATCTCGGGGCCGTCCCCGCTCGGCCTCTCCGGAGCGGCCGCGCCCTCAGCCGGGGAGCGCAGGGGTCCTGGTCCGCGGGGCTGGGCGCGCGGGGGGCGGCGGGGGCCGCAGCAGGGGGTGGCTCGGCGCTCGCAGCGGCCGGCGCGGGGCTCATCGGGCGCGCGGGTCCATCCCGGCCGGGGCGCGACGGGCCTGGGCGGTGGCGGCGGCCGCAGGCGACCCGATCCTCAGCGCGGTCCGCTCCAGGCGCCGGGCGGGCGGGCGGGGAAGGGGCGGCTCCTCCGGGCCGGGCTCTGCTCTCACGCCGCGCCCGGGAGACCGGGGCTGGGAGGGCGAAGGGCGGAAGGGTGGGCGCGGAGCGGCCGGCGGGGTCCCGGGCAGGTGCAGCGTCCGCCCCGAGCGCAGCTCCCGCCTGGCCGAGCCTCTCGGCGCCCCGCGCCCTGGGCGGGCAGATATCGAGCGCCGCGGAGCCGCCCCCCGCGTCAGCGCCCGCAGATTGGCGGAGCCGCCGCCCCGCGAGTCACTGCTGGGCCCGGGCCGGCTGCGCTGCGCTCTCCTTCCTCCTCCCCTCGGCCGCGCCCCGCGACGCCGCTGCAGCTCCGGGCCCGCTGAGGGAGGGCGCCTCCGGCCCGCGGTTTGCAGAGGGAAGCGGCGGAGGCCGGGTGGGGGCGCGCTCGGTTCCGGCCGGGCCAGCAGCTGCGGCCCAGTGGGGGGCTCCGGCCTGGCCGCTTCCCGGGACCCCCGCCCGCCCAGGGCCGCCGCGGCCGCCAGCTGCAGCCTCTCGGCTCCTCCCCGGAGGAGCCCGGGGCCGGGGCCCGGGCCAAGTCCCTCCCCAGAGCCGCGGGGCGTCTGCGCCGCCGGATGAGCTCCCCGCCGGGCGGCGACCCCGTGCCCCACGCCCGTCTCGGCAAGAGGAGGCGGAGGCGGCCCCGCGGGAGACCCGGGGAGCGACTGGGCCCGGACCCAGGGGACGCCAGGGCAGTGGAGCTCCCGGCACCGGCCCCGCCCGGGGGACGCGCCCGCCTTAATCCTCCGGACTCCGGGCCCGCTGGGGGCGCAGAGAGGGGCTGGTGTGCGGGGGGCGCCTTCCTGCTTGGGGCCGACGGGGTGTGTGAGTGCAGGCGTGTGCGTGTGTGTGCGTGTGCGTGTGTGTGTTTGTGCATGTGCATGAGTGTGTGTGTGCATGAGAGAGTGTGTGTGTGTGTGTGTGCGTGTGCGTGAGTGTGTGTGTGTGTGCATGTGCATGAGTGTGTGTGTGTGCGCGTGCGTGTGTGTTTGTATGTGCGTGCACATGCATGTGTGTGCACGCGAGTGCATCTCATCTGTCACCCACACCCAGGGCAGCGGTGCTTGTACAACGTGGCTTCTGCAAGCAGCAGCTTCTGGTCCCCCAGCCCCCAGTAGGGAATATAAGGGGAGGTGGATGTCAGCCTAAGATCCTAGTCAGGGAGGTAAGTGTGTGGGAGGAGGCCACACCCCCTGTCCCCCAAGCCAGCTGCTTCCCAGTGCCCAGATTGCCTGGGCCAGCAGCCTCTGCAGCAAGTCCAGGCCTGTGGGCTGGGAGCAGGGCCTGGGCCCCCCTTCTTTCTTTCACTCGCTGGCTTGTTACCTGGGCCCACCCTGCCCTCTCTGAGCCTCAGTTTCCTTTATGTGAATTCAGGACATTGAGCTCGTTGTTCCTGAGGACTCACTCATCTCTGAGCCTGGCCCAATGCCTGGCATTCCGTGGGCACCCACTAGATACTTATAAGGGGAGAAGTGGGGCTGGTCAGTGGAATCCATGTCTCTCGGGCCATCTGAAGTGAGTGAAGGGCTGGGTGCGGCCCACATGGAGCTGGACTGGAGGCTGTGTTGGGTGGGGCGGTGTGACCTGGAGGTGGGCTGCCCCCCCGGGAGACAGCCTCATCCCTGTGAGTGGACTTCATCCTTCCTTCCACTCACATGGACAGCACATCTGTGTGTAGACAGGGTCACTGAGAGAGGCCAAGGAGGGTGAGGGGGAAGATCCCGGGTGCAGGGAGAGTCCCGGGGGAGCGGACAGCAGGGACAGAAGCCTGTGGCAGGAAGGAAGGTCTTGGCCTGTGTTCTCCCAGCCCAGCAAGGGTCTCCCTTGGACTTGGGGTTCTGTAGGCTCCTGCCCCCCATCTCTCCCGTGGCCTGCAGGACCTCGACGCAGAGCTGTGGCTAGTGTCTCGGGGCAGATATGGGGGTGACCAGACCCCATGGAACACCATTATCCAGTGTGGGGCCTCGTGGAGATTCCCTGGGCACTTACTTCCACTCGCCTCCTGCCCCCCACCCCTCCCCAGAGTAGGTTCTTCAGGAGCCCGGCTGTTATCTGGACCCGTGTGCACCACTGGATGCCTCCCTCCCTTGCACAGGATCCTAGTTCAGCTGGTCTGTCGTCCCCTCAGAACAGTGACCTTGACCTCGCCAGATCCTTCAGAAGCGCCCCTCCCTGCCCCACCACTGTTTTCCCAACAGCACCCGCCGTGGTCTGAAGACACTTTCTTCTGTTCCTGTTTATTGTTTATCTCCCCAAAACATAAGCACTCGAGTAAGACAGGAGCCTTGTTCAAAGTTCGGCCCGGGGCCGGGCACAAAGCAGGCTCTCAGAGGAGGGACCACAAGCCCGTCTCCACGTGGGGACCAGGCGTCCACAGGCTGTGGCAGCACGTGACAAAAGTCAGAAGACAGGATCCCACTGAGGAGTGAGGAGACAGCGGCCAGCCCTCGGCCGGACCCTTCTGCCTGGTGCCTTTACTGGGCTCTGAGGAGGAATTTGGTGGTTCAGTCTGCCCGTCTGTGGACACTGTGAAAACAAAGAGAAAACAGACACACACTGATACACACATAGATACACACAGAAACACACACAGATACACACATAGATACAGAAACACACACAGATAACACACATAGATACACACAGAAACACAGATATACACATGTGGACACACAGATACACACATAGACACACAGAAACACACACAGATACACACATAGACATATAGAAACACAGATACACACATAGATACACACAGAAACACAGATACACATATAGACACACAGAAACACACAGATACACACATAGATACACACAGAAACACAGATACACACATAGATACAGAAACACACAGATACATAGATACACACAGAAACACACAGATACACAGATACACACAGAAACACACACAGATATACACATGTGGACACACAGATACACACATAGACACACAAACACACACAGATACACACATAGACACACAGAAACACAGATACACACATAGATATGCACAGAAACACAGATACACACATAGAAATACACAGAAACACAGATATACACATGTGGACACACAGATACAGACAGACACACACAGAAACACAGATACACACAGATAGATACACACAGATACATGTGGACACAGATGATACACACATAGACACAGATACGTAGGCACAGATACGTAGATACAGAAACACATGGACACACACATAGACATACACATAGATACAGATATATGCATGGACACACAATACACATAGACACACAGATGATACCTGCATAGACACAGATACATGGACACACACACACACACGGACACACAGATACACGTGTAGACACACATGGACATACAATACGCAGATGGACTCACAGATAATCTACACATAGACACCGATCTATAGATACACAAAGACATACACGCAGATACATATAGATACACACAAAAACACAGATACACGTCAATGCATGACAGACACAGACACACACCAATACGCACATAAACATACAAAGACACAGGTACACACAGATATACACACAGACACATATACACACAGACACACACACATAGACACAGATATACACATAGATACATGGACAGATACACACACATTCAGATACACACATAGATACACAGAAACACACAGACACACAGACACTCACGTAGACACACACAGCCACACAGGTCCTGAGCCTCCCTGGGCCCTCCCTTGTGCGGAGGCAGAGGGGCTGGCTGTCAGGGAGGGCACCTGGGGAGGACACATGGCCCCGTCAGAGACCAGGGAGTGGCTCTGGGAACACTTTTCTTCCAAAGGGGCTGGAGCTCCGGTTAGCCAAGGTGAGTGCCAGGTGGTGACAGGAGTGACGTAGGTAAATAACACTGGGGCTGGGCAGGGAGGGCCGCCTGCCCTGGGCGTGAGGGGATTGCTGTCTTAGACTGTGTGGTCTGGGAAGGCCTCCGGGCATGGCTTTGCACAGAAGCTTGTACCTGAGGGCTCAGCCCCTTGGAGGCCTGTGGGGCTGGAGGTGCCAAGGCTGGGGCAGGAGCATGTTTGGCCCTCTGCGGGGAGAGAAGTCCTGTGAGGTGGGCATTGGGTGAGGGCCCAAGTAGTCTCTGTAAGGTCCGCAGGTGGGGCCAGGCTGTGGGTTGTGTCCCGAGTGAGGGGCCGTGGGGGGGCTGGGGACAGAGGGATGACCCTGGGGCTTGGGTCGGGAGAGGCTCACCTAGGGTCCGGGTGGGTGGGTCTGAGGAGGGCTGAGGGTGGGGCAAGGAGAGCAGCTGTGTGGTGAGGACGGAGGGAGGTCCAGCCGGAGCCCCGGACGGGCTGCTGTCATGTGGATGTGTTGGGAATTAGGAAAAAGCTTGTGGATTCCGAGGCCTCAGTGTGCAAAGCTCTGGGACAGATGGGCTCCCCAGGATGAGGGGGGGACAGATGGGGTCGCCAGGAATGAGGGGACGGACGGGGTCCCCAGGAATGAGGGGGGACAGATGGGGTCCCCAGGGATGGGGGGACAGATGGGTCCCCAGGAATGAGGGGACGGACGGGGTCCCCAGGAATGAGGTTGGGCGGATGGGGTCCCCAGGGATGAGGGGGACAGATGGGGTCCCCAGGGATGAGGGGGACAGATGGGGTCCCCAGGGATGAGGGGACAGATGGGAGGGTCTCCCCAGGAATGAGGGGACAGATGGGGTCCCCAGGAATGAGGGGGACAGACAAGCTCCCCAGGAATGAGGGGGACAGACGGGGTCCCCAGGAATGAGGGGTCAGACGAGCTCCCCAGGAATGAGAGAGACAGATGGGGTCCCCAGGAATGAGAAAGACAGACGAGCTCCCCAGGGATGAGAGGGACAGATGGGGTCCCCAGGGATGAGGGGGACGGATGGGGTCCTCAGGGATGAGGGGGACAGATGGGGTCCCCAGGAATGAGGGGGGACAGACGGGGTCCCCAGGAATGAGAGAGACAGACGAGCTCCCCAGGGATGAGGGGGACGGATGGGGTCCTCAGGGATGAGGGGGACAGATGGGGTCCCCAGGAATGAGGGGGGACAGATGGGGTCCCCAGGAATGAGAGAGACAGATGGGCTCCCCAAGAATAAGGGGGACAGATGGGCTCCCCAGGAATGAGGGGGACAGATGGGGTCCTCAGGGATGAGGGGACAGACGGGGTCTCCCAGGAATGAGGGGGACAGACAGAGCCCCCAGAAATGAGGGGGACAGACGGGGTCCCCAGGGATGAGAGGTCAGACGAGCTCCCCAGGAATGAGGGGACAGACGGGTTCCCCAGGAATGAGGGGGACAGACGGGCTCCCCAGGAATGAAGGGCCAGAAGACCCGAGGGCTGAGGAGCAGGCCCGCCCCTCCCGCACCACCAGACTCCAGGAGGGCACAGGTGCTCGTAATTGAAAGTCTTGGAGCAGCTGGGGGCGTGGAGGATCCCGGGGGGGAGGCTTCGTGCTGCAAGGTGGAAAAGCAATTCTCTCTGCAGCCTTCACAGGCCTTGAAGTTGGGACAGACCCCTGTAACGCAAGACAGATAAGAGGAGAAAAACAAACAGAAGCTTAATAGCACGTACACCTTGGTCTGCACGGGACGTACTCAGGGGACAGACTATGTCTCAGAGACGTGGCTTGGAGCTCAGGCTTAAATACCATGTTCAACGGAAACAGAGAAAGGGTGTGGGGAGGGGCCCAAGAAATTACCCCAAACTGGGGTCAGGCCTTCTCCATGGATGAGCATCTCTGGTGACTTCAGCCGGCCTTCTGGCTCAGGGAGGGAGGCACCTCCTGTACGGATGTGACTTTCTCTCACAGAAGAGCAGCTTCCATGCTTGCTTGCAGAGTTTCTTCTGTGGCTGCAGTTTCTCAAAATAAGCAGCTCAAAATAATGCTTATGCCAAAGAGGCATATTTTGGGGTGGCATATTCTGGTCTGCTCTACATGGAAGCGAACAGAAAAATGGGGCAGAGGCTGGGGAGGGGAGCAGGACCGGCTTCCAGTTCCCAGACCCGAGTGAGGGAACCTGAGGCTGAGCTCTGGACTTTGGGGTCTGGAAGGGGTTCTCTGAGGACACTTGGGGCGTGGGGGAAACAGCTGCCTCCTCAGGTTTCCCCCAAGGGATCCTGCCTGGGGAGACCTGGACTGGGCGAGGCTTGGCAGCTGCCCTGCGAAGAGGAGGGAGACAGGGCTGCAGTGGGAGGTGCAGGGTTGCTAGGGTCCCACCTGGGGGTGCTGGGACTGGCCAGAGGACACATGGCGATTTTCCAATGGGCCAGGAAGGAAGGAGGAGCTTTCCAGGCAGAGCATGACTCCGCACAGAGGCAGAGGCAGAGTGTCCCCGTCGGGTCCCTGGGGCTGTGGCAGGGGAAGAAGCTGCAGTACCTCCTGCCCTTTAAGACAGGAGAGGCTGTCGTCCCGGCGTTGCCCAGCAGCTGTTTGGAGCCCAGGACTCCTCAGAGGAGCCAACGCCTGAGCCCTGAGCAGCCAGCTGGCCTGGCTGACCCAGGAGAAGGAGGCCGCTGTGCGTAAGTAGTGAGGTGTGAGAGGAAGCACAGAGCCGTGCCACTTGGGTAAGAAGGGGAGAGAAGGAAGCCTGTCTGAATGGCTGCGCAGGGGATGTTGGAAGAGAACTGAAGGAAGTCACGCAGTGCTCGTCTGTGAAGGGTGCACCACAATGTATGGACAAGGGTGGGAGAGAGATGCTGGGCCACAAAGTTTGGGGTGTGTGATGGCGTGGAGGAGAAAGCCTCCTGGGGGCTGTGGCCAGAGGGGTGTGCAGTCCACCCGCAGATGGAGTTTTATGTGCCTCCCACCTCCTCCCAGGGGCCCCCCACAACGCCCTGAGGCCCCATCAGCAACAGGATGGTGGGTTTTCCTTCCCACATGGATGGGGGACGTCCCAGCCTCCTGGATGCCCTCCTGGGATGGGACAGAGGGGAGCACCACCTGTGCCTCTACTCACGCCTGGCCTGGAGTGGCCCAGCGGAGGGTCCGGGTGGGGGCGCTGGAGGGGCCCACACAGCTCAGGCCTGGCACCTGCACCTTTCTGGATCCCACGATGTTTTGCTAAGGATTACTCATCCAAGACCTACCCAGAGGCTCTGGAGCTGTTTACCACAGGCCAGCTCTGGCCGCAGGCTATTCTGGGAGCCTGGGGGGAGCTGGGAGGAGGCTGGGGCTCTGGGTGGCAGGAGGAGGAGGGCCGTCTTGTCCTTCCTGAGCGTCCAGCGAGCGTCAGATGCTGCACTGCATGCAGTTCTAATCCTGGCCTGGCGAAGCCAGAACAGGACAATATTCCTCCATCCCCAGGCCTCCCGCTTGGCTGCAGGTGCTGACAGGGAATGGGCCTGGCTATCGGGGCTCACAGGGGAGCCGGGAGAGCTGCTAGCAGGAGAAATGTGAGCTCTGCATCTGCTGGGCTGGGTTCGAGGGACGCGGGGTGGCTGGGCAGGGTGGCGCTGGTCCCTCTGGCTGCTGTCGCTGGCCGGCCGGCCAGTCTGCCCCAACGCTGGACTCCTGGGCTACCCATTCCCCATCCACAGTCTGAGGGTCTCTGAAAAGATAACTCATTTGTTTTCATTAAAAGCAACAGATCAAGAAGCTGAAAACACAAGAATAAAACAATGTAAATCTTGACTTTATTTGGTATCCCTCACATACAGGATTCACATTCTATTATACATGGAGTATCCACAAAAACTGACCACATTTTGCTCGTCATAAAAATATCAAGAAATTCCAAAAGGCAGATAATCTAGAGGCTGTCACGGCGTCTACACACACACGCACAGTCTACAGCTTGTTCATAGACACAGTGTGGTATAACGAAACAAAAACTGACTTTAAAAATATTTCTACCTGGGCCGGGCTCGGTGGCTCACGCCTGTAATCCCAGGACTTCAGGAGGCCGAGGTGGGCGGATCACGAGGTCAGGAGTCTGAGACCAGCCTGACCAACATGGTGAAACCCTGTCTCTACTAAAATTCCAAAAAATTAGCCAGGCGTGGTGACGGGCACCTGTAATCCCAGCTACTTGGGAGGCTGAGGCAGGAGAATGGCTTGAACCCGGGAGGCGGAGGTTGCAGTGAGCCGAGATCGCACCACTGCACTCCAGCCTGGGTGACAAGAGTGAGATTCCATCTCAAAAAAAAACAAA